GCTGGCTGCTCCCACAGCTCCCTGCCGGGCTCGGCGGGAGGCTGCCAGCGCCTCTTCCCGCCTCGCCTCCGGGCTCGCAGGTCGTCGTGGCTGTCACTTATCCCAGGCGGGAGGACTCCTGCCTCCTCTTCTGCCTGCCACTTCCCAGCTCGCTTACTTCTCCTCGCGCAGGGCTTGTACAGCCAGCACGTCTCCCTGCCGTCCCCTCCCCTGTGAGACCAAGTTTACACGAGTGGTCGCAGGTCGTGGTCTGGAGCCCACTGCCAGGGCAGCCCCGGCATCCCAGTCCCAGGTGCGCTCTCCTGGCACTGCTGCGCCTTAGTGCAGATGAATGCTTTTTTTGTGACGGCGCACATTAGATTGCTGTGTGTTAAGGTTTTTTGCAAGCCATGCTTCTGTGTATTAAGCATCTCATACAGCCATGCTCCATGGGGGGAGAAGTGTTTAAAAAAAATAAAAGAAATAAAATTTAAAGCAGAAAAATTGGCAGGGTGAGTGGATTTTGGCAGCCCTGCTGCCAAAATTGGGCTTTCATTTTTTGCTTCAATAGCTTTCAAAGTGACTTGATTTTTAAATAGTAAAGGAAATACAAGGGCTGCTACTCATTCGTTTCTTTCCTGCCTTCTGTCCCTACATCCGGCCTACATCTTCAACACATTTCAAATGTGGTTTAGGTAGGCTACCAGTGACGGGGATGGTGAGGTGTTCAATAGAGCTTGGCGCGGAGCAGGGCCTGTTTCCAATCCCAGCCTACACCACTCCCTGCTTCATCCCCTTCCCATACCCTGTCCCACATTTCTCCCAGCCATCATGGGGGCAGAGCTCTCTGCAGCCTGGACAAAAGTGACAATTTTCACCTGATCTGGCCACAGAAAACAGTTTATAGCTGTGACCAAGCACAACTGCATGACTGTAAACAGTTTAAAAAATGGCCAAGAGGGTGAAATTCTCACCCCTCATTCCATGAGGTACCAGATAAAGGCATTTCAAAATGTAGCATCTGCTGTAACTTGTCTGTGGAGCTCTCAGCCTGTGGCTGTTTTCAGAATGGGAGGGGGGAAAGGGAGCAGAGGGAATTCAGTCTGCCGGCCCCCAGGCTGGAGCGGGTATACTGGAGCCTTCCCAGGTGGAGGGGCTCCAATTCACCCACCTCACCATTTGGCACCAAGAACGGGCTCCCTCTGCTGCCTTCCCCCCTCCACCCTTCTGAAAATATCAAGCACTGCCACATTGCTATGGTGCCAACTCCCAGCCCCAGCTAGATTCTCCTCCCCTCTGGAACCAACAGTGAACTTCTGTTTAGTCTGGGGTAACATTGTAATCCAGAAGGCTTTGCAGAAATCATTCCGAGTTACAGCTGGGAGCTACACTTCTGTCTGCAGCAAGTTCTTGGGCACTTTATTTTTACATTCACTTTCAGCATATAAAAAAGTAGACCGAAGCATATTTTCTCACACGCAGTGTGCACCAGAGTAAGATGTGCACCTTGTTTTTGAAAGGTAGAATGAAGAACAAAGGGCGCCTGTACACGGGCATAGAGGCTGCTCAGATGTGCTGTAAATACCATGTTCCAGCAGACTCCAGCGTCACGTGTCAGTGTCCCCAGGCTGAAAAATGGCAACAGGGATGTTTTAACTAAAGCCTGTTGTAGTTATAGTGCCCCCTGCCACCACTTTTCAGCGTGGGGATGCTGATGCACATGACACTCTGGGCACTTTAATTAGAGCAGCTCTCAGAGCCACTCTAATTAAAGTGCCCCCCACCCCCGGTGTATAAATGCCCAAAATTCTTTCCTTGTAGTACATAACTGAGTAGTAGGAGCTAGTGAACCAAGTCTACTCATTGTTCTGCTCCCAGTGGATCAAGCAGCAGAAACTGCTCTTGCTATATTTCTCGCATCCAGTATGCACTCCAATTTCTGGCAGCTGTTTCTTGGAGAAAAAAGATGTGCGCTATATGCAAGAAAATTACAGCATACCTTTTAAATACATTGGAAAGGAAATAAATCATTTGACGTTTAGAAGACGTTTGACCCTATCAGATATCCATGTCATACCAGCCCTGCTGTAGTCCTGATCAGTCATTGGGGGTTTTTTGTTTGTTATATCTTTAATTTTAATTGTGTTAAGTGGAAAGGATTCAAGTTATAGTTGTACATTTAAATACTTTTTTTTTCTGCTTAGCCATTCACAAGTCATGATGACTAAGTACAAGGAGAATTTTACCTATGGTTGGTTCAAATTTGCCAGTGACAAGTCAACAATGTATGCTATGACATCCGAATTCTGATCCAGCATGCTCAGATTATATGGCAGCTTCAAAGTTAGGTTGCTAGTGATCTCTTCATTTTGGTCAGCATTTGTCTAATTATTTTCTTCCCTCTTCATTTTCATAAACTCCCAGTCTTGCACCAGTTAAAGTCAGTGTAAGAGTTGTCATTAACTTCAGAAGGAGCAGGATGTTATACATTTCCTTAACATATCATGGATAGGTTAATGTCTATACTGGAATTTGAAAGAGCATTAGAGCTTCTCTTGGAAGAACTGCTGTTAAACCTGAATTTGGCTAACTTTGTTTAAATTCTAGGTTAGGTGTATTTGTTCTTAAGAAATTGATGCACAGATAATACTACTAATAATTATTAGTATTAGTAGTAGTATTTAATTTTTTTTCTTTTAATAGCTCAACAGGAGTGGACTTTTATTTATTTTTTTGGCTTTACAGGTTCTGGATGGAGCAGGATTAGATGTTGATTTTCACTTACAATCTCCAAAAGGTGTCACCCTCATTTTTGATCAGAGAAAATCTGATGGAGTGCATACGTGAGTTTTAAATCTCTAAACTTAAACCTTCTTGTCATATACACCACTAATCGCTTCTCGGTCTCTTGAAGGCTCAGATTAAGTGTTTATTCAAATACATTTTCAGAAAAGTTAAGTTAGGACTTTAAAATCATGGCTGTTTTTAATATTCATAAAACCTGGCTTTGGTGAACATCAGGAAGCTTAAGTCATTCTTTGAAAGTTAAATCTAAAAGGCTAGTCAGTGATTGCTAGAAAATGTTTGATAAATAAGGGTATTTCAGAGTGTTTGTTTGGATATAATATGGACTTCTTTATAGAGCAGCTTGAGCTCATGAATATTTGTTGTGGTATGATGCTTATCTGTTCACTAGAGGTGCATCAATACATTGGTCCTGTACGATATTGGCACTGATAAAAGGAAAATTGACATTATCGGCAGTCGGCTTTTTTTGGCTGATACGGTCAATAATGTCACCGATAAATGTCGTGTACATGTGCGCAGCTGCAGCGCAGCACACAAGCAGCCAGGAGCTCAGCCCAGCAGTGTGGAGAGAGCAGTGTCTGGCTGGTAAGTCAGTTCATGAACACCTCATGCCATCCATAGGCAGCAGGAGCGGTGTTGACAGGGACGTGGCGGCGACAAGCAAGGACC